AAAATCCATCTAAAAAATAGATTTATTAAGAGGCCCGCATTTCTAAATATGAGGGCATGGCTGCATAGCAACTGGGTCCTTGACAAATTATCTAAACTGTTTACTTCGCACTAGAAAATAAATGTTTATATATCCACAAGATCTATATTATTTTTTTATTTTCAAACTTGTCGTCGGTGTTGGAAATTGATTTTAAAGCCAATGTACATAAGATTTCCGTTACCCAAAGTGCTTTCCAGATAAGGATATGCTGTGGGGCTTTATTTTATTTTCTCCTAGGCCTTACAGAAACCTGGGAAAATTATAAATAACTCCCAAGAATTGGCTTTTTTTGCAACTTACCCCAACCAAAATTTTTTTCACATTTTTACACTAAATTTAACTTTTCTAGCAAATATTTTTCAAAATCATAAAAAATGTAAAATAAATACCAAAATACCATCTAGAAAGTATGCGGTCAAGCATAAAATGGGGGCGGTCCGGTATTGTGCTTCCGAAAGATATGCAGTCTAGCACAAAATAGGGGAGGGGAGGTCATGTATTTTGGCGATATGGACATTTTCGTAAAAAGAAACTTATTTGAGTTGGGAATATTTGCTAGAAACTTTCAAATCGGGGCAAAAGTTGCTTAAATTTGATTTTTCCCTAGCGATAAGTAACAAAAGTTGCGCGCGGATTTGAAAAAGGCACGAGGAAAAGGAGGAATAGTATCGGAGGGGAAGCACACGGAAAAGGGCAAAGTGAAGAGGAGGAAAACCAGAGACGAAGACCAGAGGGAGAGGGGCGGCGAAGAAAGCGAAATGGGGAAGCAGGATCTGAGCGAGGAGCAGGTGGCATCGATGCGGGAGGCGTTCTTTCTCTTCGACACCGACGGCGATGGCCGCATCGCTGTGTCAGAGCTGGGTGTCCTGATGCGCTCCCTCGGCGAGAACCCCACTCAGGCGCAACTCAAAGACATCGTCTCCCGGGAGAAGCTGACCGCCCCCTTCGACTTCCCGCGGTTCCTGGAGGTGATGAAATCCCAAATCAGTCCGGAGCCCTTTGCCCCCAAGCTTAGGGACGCATTCAAGGTGCTGGACAAGGAGGGATCTGGCTTCATCTCTGCATCCGAGCTGCGCCACATCCTCACCAGCATTGGGGAGAAGCTTGAGCCCTCAGAGTTCGACGACTGGATCCGCGAGGTCAATGTTGGCTCGGACGGCAAGATCAGGTATGACGATTTCATCGCCCGCATGCTTGCCAAGTGAAGTGATCCACTGCCCTTCATCATTTGGACCTCGTTTTTATCTTTTTTTTTTTTTTTAATTTGGCGTTATTTCTCTTTCTCTAAATTTATCAGAGGGAGCAGTCAGTTAGTCTCTATCTCTATATTGGTGTCGTCTCCGCTGTCTTCTTGTTTGCCTATTATTGGCTTTTGTATCTGTGTTGCTATTTGATGCCTTCATGGCATGGGATTAGCCTTACTGCTCCCTGGTTTCTATTTATCAGTAGTTGGAAACTGGATTGATCCCTTGCATGCACATCTTACTTTTTTAATGAATGAAAAGAATTATTTTGTTATCTTATGTGGCAGATGAGGGTCATGTGGTCCTAATTAACAAACAAAAGCAAAAATTATACATTGGTTAGGCGATTGAATGACATAGAATGTAGTTTCATAAATAACAAGTTCGGTTCATATATTGTGAAAATATGATAAAAAAAAACACTTGGCGAGTGCTAATATCACAAATTGGCATTTCTATTAGGCTGAGAGTAGATATCCAGTCTGTAAAAGTACGGAAGATCTGAGTTATTTTTTTTCTTAACCGTTGACTAGATATTTATTGCTCAAAAATTGGTATACAAGTGTATTACAAGCAATATTGTTATACAAGTGTATTACCATGCAATGTACAAACTGATTCTCTATACATTGGATCTAAAAAAAAAAAACTTTACAAATCCCTGTAGAAGTCAAGGTTATAGGCTGTGAAACACAGAGAATCTGAAATGCTGTTCTCTAAATCTGGGAGTTGTGTTTCAGATCATGTATACTCGACAGTGTTCAGTGGAAGAATTTACATCGAGTTTAATTTCTTTCAGAGGAACAACCTCCATGTTATTATATTTCCATCTCATGAATAATGTGTCATTAGGTTGGTATGTTTGTTGAATCATACATCAAGTCACTGGAAGTATCATAACTTGCTCATGGAATCATCCAGAGACTTAACAATTCATTTCACAAGGTGTGACTTTATTTTATTGTGTCTCAGTTGCAATGTGTTAAAGTAATTTGAATATGATAATATTCCTTCTTTGCTTATCACCATCTTTATGATCGGATAATTGTGGTGAAATAATTAGCAAGATTCAAATAAAGCTAGGTGGCAGATAGGTGGCCGGGGGGTCTGGCCGCATAGGCGCTAGGCTGCTGCCTCAGTTTTGAGGTGCCCCCCACATATATATACACATGTATGTGCACTGTAAACCATAGTTAGCAAGTTTCTGTTTAAAACACAATTTTTTCAAAAAGTCTTCAATTTCAATTTTTTGAAATCCGTTAAGAAGTCAAAGTTTTTCAAAAGATAAAAAATCGTTTTTATTTTAATGGAACTGATATAAATTTATATTTTATCTTTTTTAAAAGAACTTTTCGCAAAAACTTATTTCGTTTAACTTTATTTCTTCATTGATTATTGAATGTTGGTTTAAAGATAAGCACTTTAATAATGAGAGTAAATTAATAATCTTGATTTAACAAAAAATTCGATCAAAAATTTCAGCAATAAGTTGCCTTAAGAAAAATATATGAAAAAATACAAACAGTATATTCCCCAAAAATAACACATCAAAACAATCATATACCTCAAAATAATAGGTAGAATTAGAAGAAGAGTAACCCAATGAATTTTTTTTTTCTTTAAACCTAGAGCGTCCTTATAAAGAGAAAGAGTGAGATTCAATGAAACAAAAAATTTAGGCAGCTAAGAATTCAGTGTGAGATTCAAATATTCTTAGGCAATCTGTTGCTTTCTTTATGCATAGAGAAGTTTGATTATTTTTTTATTTCATTGGTGTATACAACGTAGCATTTTGAATGGACTACTGTTTTACATATTTGGGTCTTTGTGCTTTGTTTTAGTTAACTGCAACCCTATACTGAGTGTCTTTTTTATTTCTTTATCTGAAAAATAATCCTATACTTGGTTTACAGTTCTTGTTTTTTACTAATGTAGTTTTTGTCTATAGTATTCTTGTTTCCTTTTATGCTCCTAATAAATCCAATGATATGTTTTGGGGCAACAAAATAAGCATTGTTGTTGGATTTATTGAAAGTTTAAACAAAAAATTGTCAAGTATTACTCTAATGATAGTACATAAGGCCATAAAATTATTGTTCAGTGGCTTTAATGTATCTATACAATAACTGCAAAGCATAATCCTATATTGTGTCATTCTAAATATCTGATTTTTTCACCATGTTTTTTTGAGCCAAATCTGAAATATTAATGATACTACAACTTATCTTATTATTTATTTATTTTTTTGATATTGTATGACTTTGATAAATATAGATAATTGTTACAGTGCCATGTAAATGGTAAAAATGGCAGCCCACTAGTTGGGTGCTCTGAATACAAGAGAAGAGATATAAGAACAGCAGAGCAAAAAATAAACATAAAAATTACAGGTAAAAGGAAGATAGTCTGAATGGGTAGGGGCATTGCAGCCCAGTCTTGTTATGCTAAGTTGGATCTTTTGCGAAGGGGCTCCACCGAGATCGTACGAGCAAACTGCTTCAGTGACATTAACACGGGCCTGAAGAATCCCTTGGGTATGTGCTGTAGCTCATTAAAAGAAAAGAAAAAGGAAAGGGGATAGGAGGGTATCTGGTATCCACTTTTTAACGGGGTAAGAAATAGGGGAGATGTACAGAGAGATGGCGGATGAGAGGTAAGTAATGGGAAGTTCAAGAAGGGGTAGAGAGAGAAAGAGATGAGTTAGAGCCATATGGGAAAAGTATAGGGAGAAGAGGTGCGATCGAAATACCAGGGCCAAGAAAAATAGAGAAGAGGAGGGGCCAGTAGAGAATAGAGGGGAAAGGGGCCAAGAGAGATGAAAAATGAATTTTACCTATCCAAATGTTTTTTCTTGATGAAATAAATTATACAGAGCATTTTAAAAATCATTTTAATGTTCCATAACTCAAACAAAACATATTTAAATAAAATTTGATGGGAATTAGATCCAACGAGTTAGGAATCATGCGAATTTACTGAGGCAGCTCCAACTATACTAGCAATCGTAAACTACAATCATCTTCTCAAACTGACCCAACGGAACCCATGGCGCACAACCCATCGTAGGGGTTCATGATTTGTTTGTTAAAGTCAGCCAATAAATGAAGACAATATGGTTCTAGTCCATTGTTTACAGGTTCTCCTTGGGGATTAATTCAGGTCTCATAGGACCTTCGCACACTATAGCAATGGTGCATGGGGGTCATCTCTTCAGCTGCAGCACCTGTACATGTCATACCTCAGCGGGTTGCTTCCAAAACGTCTATGTAGTGTACATTCCATGTGATGACAATGATGAGGATTTTGGTCCCTCTCCCCTTTAGGCTAACCAACCGCACATAGGGGTCACATTGTCCCCTGGCAAACCACCATTCGGGCATCTCTCCGACCTCATCAAGGGATGACCCTACAAAACCTCAGTGGTTGTGCTATATGACTAGGGCTAAAGGGTTTTAGACATCAACCTTGACCTAGCTCGTCAAGGCCAGGTGAGTCACGGCATCAAAATGGCTTCTTTGGTCTCACTGGACCGTACTCCCATTGGAGTTGTCATATCACTTTATAAAAAGTTTTTACATGCTCTCATAATCGCCACATCACCCCAACATATCTAATATCTTGGGTAGGGTTTAAGAGGACTTATAAGATGAAGGGCCTGAACTCCTTGTTTAATGGAGTGGGTTTTCTCATTAAGTGGGTAACTTTTCTATCCACATGGAATATCCCATAACTCTTAAAATCTTGTAGAGTGTCAGGTAGGGTGTTCCAAGATGGGTAGATCGCATAGAGTTACACGAGGAAGAGAGGGCATATGATAGTTGTGTGTGTGTGTGTGTGTGTGTGTGTGTGAGAGAGAGAGAGAGAGAGAGAGAGAGAGAGAGAGAGAGAGAG